GATATAAATAAATATTAAAAGTGGGCTTACCTTTTGTGAATCAGGCGACACAAATTTCAGACTTTCGTCATCAAGAGCTTAAATTAACCTAAAGTAAAAAAGGCGTGTACTTCCTTTTTAATTCACAAACAAGAAAATGCCGCCCAAAATGATCGTCGATACGATCAAATAAATGCGATGAAATTCACTTTACTGCACCAGAAGTAATTTCAAATCAAATTAATTTACAGATGAATGAAAAAGATGCTAATAAATACAAATTAATGAATGACTTTGTACATTTTTGCTGCGAGCGTTCGGCGTGTACAACAAACCCGCCTTAAATGCTGTTAATTGCATGAAATATAAATACTTGATTACAATTTATTTATTCATGAAGTTAGACTACTCCCATGGCAAAGCGAATCGCCAACTTTGTCATCTCTTAGACGAGTCAAATTAAAATTTTAATTAAATCATATTTATCAATGGAGGCGAGCGAGGCGACCCGACCCGACTGACGGCAGCAGAAAAACAAATTTATTTAAAAGTTGTATATGCCAGAAGCAAAAATATCAAAAAACAATTTTTATTTAAGCATTTAAACAGTTCGGTTTAAGCTTTAAGAACAATACAAACAAAATCTCTAAATGCATTTAAGTAAATGTCATATCATAGTTTCAGGTGATGTGAAAGCTGCTTTGTGTTGGTTGGTTTGTTGCTTCGTTCACTTGTTCAGGTTGTCGAGGAACTGCTTGTGACGCTGGATGGCCTCCTCGTGCTCCTTGATCTGCTGATGATGGAATTCGGCCTGATGGATCTGATCGTTCTTCAAGCGCTCCAGCTGCTCCCTTTGCTGTAAAGAGCACAAAAATGGTCGTTAGAGAAAGTAATTAGCAAATTTAATCACGAGAGCACTCAAACGTTATTCTGTCTTAATTATAGCTTGACGATAACTGACAACATTTATTATCTTTCGCATTATTTACAGACAATAGCGACTACGTTATAAAGCCGCTTAGCAATGGGCCAAAGCCCCAGTGTCTGAGTGTCAACGCGAATATTAAGCAAAAACGATTTTTTAGCACACACTTGACAGAATACAAACAACTCTCCAGTCAACCCCGAAAAAAAACCCAAAAACAAAAAGCATGTCACTCTATGCAAATTAGCCAGCTACCATATTATTAGCTTGCGAACGAGAGAACATAAGAGCCAATAAAGAGAAAAAAGGTGGGGAAAAAACGGCCAGCATATAATCAGTGCTGCTGCGGCTGTAGCAGTAGCATCTGCCTGAGATCCACACGCTGACCAAAGCCAACCCTGAACCTGATTCTGTATCAGTTGTATTGGCTATAGGCTGGCTCTGCCTGCCAACCAGTTTTAGTTGTGCGTCGCCAGTCGAAGTGATAAAAGCGTGAGTAAAAGCAAAGAGTCTGCCAAGAAAGTGAGCATTGCACACAAGGCCAAGGCTACTAATACAACTGGCCAAGCTGAGAGTGTCCAGCCACAACGCAAATACAGCTAATTGAAAGTCAATACTCATGCAAAGGCTTAGCTTTAGCTAAATTAATATATAAATATATAATACCTATCAGTTCCAAAAAAATAAATATTAATAACACAAAAACAAATACACGCTCCCATCAAATTCTAAAGACGTTGATAAGCGCAGACCAGATCAATTCCACATAGCTCATTGACAACTTCGGAAATCATTCAAGATGAAACGTAGGCGCAACAACATGTTGATTGTGCCGCTGCTGCTAGTCGTCGGAGCAAGCTTTGGCGTGTTGGCTGCTGGCTACACTGGTTCGGTGAGCAGCGTTCTTGGAGCAGCGCGACCCGTGCGCTCCGTGGAGACACTGAAGGAATGGCAGCAGTTGGAGTACGGCTTCGCCTCGGACAGGGATCGGCAGAAGGCGCAGTCGGATGGCAATTTGATGCCTGGCTATGGCACGCCCATTGATGTGCAGCCCCATTACCTGCCCAACGGACAGGTGCGCATCTTCACCACAGTGCCACGCTTCGTCACCGGCATACCCTACACGCTGGCCACAGTCTCCGAGCGGCCGGGCCACAATGGTCCCCAGCTGCAGCCGTATCCGGGCTACAGTTGGCATAACAACAATGGCGACAACTGTGACCAGATTACGTCAGCATTCCGTGTGTCTGTGAGTAGCTCGAGCTCTTGGTGACATAGAATAGGAAATCTAACCTCATCCCTCTGCCATTGACAGATCAACGAGTGCAATCAGATGTGGGTCATTGACTCGGGCAATGTGGGTGGCGTGCAGAACTGTCCGCCACAGTTGCTGAAGTTTGACCTGAGCACCGATAGATTGCTGCATCGCTTCCGTTTGCCCAACGATACTTATGTGGCTCACGCTTCGATACTCATCGCAACCAATCTGCTAACGCAGGATCCGCCGCCGCGTGGCAACTGTGCCCGCACCATGATCTATATACCGGACGTAAACTACCACGGACTCATCGTGTACGATCATCAGGCCGACGCAGCCTGGCGCATTGAGAACCGCTTCATGTACCCGGATCCCGACTATGGCCGCCACACCATTGCCGGCGAGAGCTTCACTCTGATGGACGGCATCTTTAGCGTGAACAATGATAGACAGAATCTGTACTTCCATCCACTGGCCAGCATCAGCGAGTACTCTGTGCCGCTCAGCTTGATCAACAGGCGACAGAACTGGGAGGACGATTCGGGTGCCATGGAGGATCAATTCAAGCTGCTGGGCAGGCGTAAGAGCGAGTGTGCCGCCTCTGCTATGGACAGTCGCAACAATCTCTACTGTGTCACCCTCAATCCCATCAAGCTATTCGCCTGGAACACGAATACGCCCTACACCACACGCAACTTTGGCAATCTGCCTGCCAAATCCAGCGAGCTGCAGTTCGTTAGTGGCATGAAAGTCCTACGCAATCCTGGCGGTCAGGAGGAGCTCTGGATGCTCTCCAATCGTTTCCAGGTTAGATATAGCTTCACTGATCTCTTGCGTTCGGTTTACTGATCCACGTTTTTTTCTTTCTTATAGAAAATTTCGGCGGGCACTTTGAACTCGAACGAGGTTAACTTCCGCATCATGCGCCGCCAGCTCGACGATATTCACAGCGGCATGTACTTCGCCAGCGACGATGATCTGACGAATCGTCTGATCTTTACTTAAGCTACACAGTAAACAGTTATACATAAATACAAATTACTTAAATATCTTAGGCTGTTCCAAGGCGCAATAGCTAATTATCTATATAGTATATTGAACACTCGTTAAAGTAAAAATTCAAATATCCCAAAGCTCTGCTTCTATATTAATTTTAAATATATATCCTATAATTTTACCAGACAATTAAAATACTTATGAATTATGATGATTGCAGTCATTATACAAGAATGTTGTATTCCTTACAATTTGAATACCTGGACTTGATCAAAAACGAAAAACAAAAACAAAAAACTGACACGCGTTTTCAAAACACATTATACAGGGTGTTATTTTCGTGACACAATGCTACGTGTTGTTGTATTACTATCGCTTATATTTTTGTCATCAAGTTCATAAGTCGCCTTATCGCTAATGCTACGCATTGAAGATGAATTCGAGCCAACACACGGAGCGAGCGGAATTTGTTTTACAGCAACATGTTAACAATATTTAAGCGGGATCCGGTTATAAATAAAAACAGCAAAAAGCTATAAAGAGGACTATTAAAGCGACTAATATATACTCTCAAATAACAACTTATACTAACTAGAGTAGTCTAAAGAACTGAGTTAGGGAGCAGACTAACTGAGACATAGCTCTTTATATTAAGCGATGTGATATTCTTTATATTTAGTTGCTCACTAACCTAGTTTCAATACTAAAGAAATTTGAGCAGAGAAACTTGCAACTATAATTCACTCTTTGACTCTTTTGCAAATATCGCATTAGTCTCTTTAAAAAAAAAAAGTCGTTAATATAATAATAATACATCTATATAAAAACCTCGCCCTAAATACAAATTTCATGGGGATTTTTTAGCCAAAGCAGATGATACCAGAGTAGCGCGAGCCTCTGCTCAGCTTTGTTGATATTCACGACAAAAAAAAGGGTGTCAACACGGGCTTAAGCAAACCGAAAAATCAGTTAACAAAAAGTCTTAACGACTTTCGTTAGAGTATATGTAATTTATTGTTACAACACATATATGGGGGGCCAATGGACTCTACCTTGACGCCGTGTGTTGCAGCGAGTGGAAGCTGGAAGTAGCTGGAAGTGGCTGGAACGCAGGCATAATTAGTGCCCCGAATCGCACAGCTTAGCCAGATTTGTTTTTGGCCCGCAGTGGACTTAAACAAGATCGCTACAATGAGAATTTTAATGCAAGCTTTCAATTGGCAATTAAACCAGTTTACCACAAAGCTGACCCAATTGATCAGGTCTGGTCGGTCGGCTGATAGCCGTATTAGAAAGACATGGGCCGTTCGCTGGCGACGCGAGCGCAGTAACTGTTTCGGCCTTACGTGGAGCACATCGCGCGAAAGTGAATGGATTACAGCAGCATGAATTACCAGCATTGCATAAGGATAATTGCTTTAGTTAGCTGTCTGATTGCCATTGTGGCAGGACAGTATGCGACAGCACCTGGCATCGGATACCACTCCAAGGCCTTGGAAAGAGTGTTCGAGGCGCGCAACCTGGAGCTAGGCTTTCCGACGCCAAAGGAACGGGAGCGTGTCCTGCGCGCTGGCCTCTATGATCCTGACAATGTTGTGCCCATCGATGTGGATGTCTACTATACACGTAAGTAAAATGAGTTTGGATATTAATCAAATGCAAGGCAAAAAGCTTCAATGCTGACATCATTCGCCTTTGTTGTACTTCAAGTTTAACTTAATGTGAACTTTCTCGCGCTTAGATGGTGACAAAACACCCTCGATCTTTGTGACTATACCTCGCTTCACTAAGGGCGTTCCCTACTCCCTGGCCTATGTCACCAACGAGGTGCGGGAGAATGGCACCGAGCTACGAGCCTATCCCAGCTACGATTGGCATCAATCTCATGGCGCCGACTGCAATGGGCTGACTTCCGTTTATCGCACTCAGATTGACGAGTGCGGACGCATGTGGATACTGGACAGTGGGGAGATTGACTTTGTGCAGCACTGCCCGCCGCAGCTGTACGCCCTTGATCTGGCCAGTGGGGGCGTGGTGCATCACTACCGCTTGCCACAAGATGTGTACAAGACGGGCGTAAGTCGCTTTGTAACGCCCACAATTGAAATGGATGCGAAGAATTGCGATGTGGGACATGTATACATGGCTGACTCCATTGGCGATGGCATTGTGGTCTATGACGTGGCCGCCCAGAAATCGTGGCGCATCGAGAACAAGTACACCTATCCGCATCCGGACTTTGGCACTTTCAAAATAGCCGGCGAGAGTTTCCAGCTGTGGGATGGAAGCGTGGCCATGTCACTGACGCCACACGGACTGGCGGGGCATTTGGAGCGCATGCTCTACTTCCACTCGCTGTCCAGCGACTGGCAAATGGCAATTCCCCTGAGTGTGGTTAACAATGGAAGCATCTGGAAGCGGAATGATGTCAGCGCAGGCCTCGATCAATTTGTACTCCTAGGCAAGCGAGGCAGCCAGTGTGTGGCCGCAGCCATGAGCGAGACAGGCATGTTGCTCTGCGGCTTGGTGCAGCCTCCCAGCATACTGGCTTGGAACATACGTCAATCATATACCCCTGAGAATATGGCCCTGTTAATAGAGGACGAGCAACGGCTGCAATTCGTCAGTGGCCTGAAGATAGTCAGAAACCACGAGGGCAAGGAAGAGCTTTGGGCGCTCTCTAATCGCTTGCAAAAGGCTTTTGGTACTGGGCTGAATTTCAAGGAAGTTAATTATCGTATACAGAAGTGCGGCATCTACGAGCTACTCAATGGATTGTCCTGCCACTAGGCTCAATTATTTGATTGTTCTATATTTATTAGCGGATTTTCAAGATTTCTCATGTAGCCTCTAATGCTATTTAAATAAATTGTAAATATTTTTATCCACTTGAAGTTCAAGTTGAACTGAAGTTCACTCACCTTTTTGTAGAAGTATTCCTCCTCGCGTGCAGCCTCCAGTTTGCCGAAGGCGCCGCCAGCCTCACGGATGGAGCCGCCGCCGCCACCGCCCTTGCCGGCGCCGCTTCCCAAGTCGCCGACCTGGCTGCCGCTCATTTTCGCCAATCTGTAGGTGCAGCGCAATACATTGAAGCATTAGAATTTTTGCGCAGGTTATGTAATAGGAAGTCATAAGCCGACACACAAACACACATATTTATATACACACACACACACAAACAACTTGTGCCGGGTCAAGCATAAAGAAATTTCGGGGCTCTATTTGTTTATCTTATCGGCATAATTTACAAAGTGTACATATAAATAGATATCTGTGTGTAAGCGCATAAAGAAAATTTTTAGTTTTTCAAGCCATTTTTTGTATAAAGGCGTTAACCAATTAGCATTTAATTAGAGTAAATAACTTACTGCACTCCAGCTGGGTACAAACGGGCTGCGCTACGACGTACAACGAACATTTTCCTCAAAAAGTTATGCAAAAATTTGTGTAAAAATCTAGAAGAGAAAAAAGAACAGTTATTAAAACAAACGATGATATGCAAGAAATTGTTCAAGCTTAGATGCATTGAACTCAAAAATTAACAAAGAAAAGTCTTTAGTATAAACATTGTATCTAGATGTATATGTGTATATTTATTTTTAATACAAAGAAAAGCATTCAATAATATGTATAAACATTTATACATGTACGTACATATATATCAGAAAGAACTTTTTGTGGCGCAAAAAAACGTACCTGACTCTTCTGCGTGTCAAACTTGTATGTAGAAGTGTGGCCGAAGCTTCTAGCCGGTTGCTTTTAGAGCTGCCAGACTGGCAGTGCCAGTGTGTACGAGCTGTTAAGGTTGCCACCTAAGATTCCATTTATTTGATGGGAATCGTAATCAAGTTTGTGCAACCTATCATACAAGTTGTCAGGCATGTTGAATTCGAGCCATTGATTTCATATTGAGCAATGGCATGTATTTAAGGTCTGCGGTGATAGTCTAATAGACTATTTATGTGTATTTAAATTCGCAAGTCTGACATACTTCAACATGCAACATTTTAATCGTGTGGCAACGCCATTTCGGTATTTTTAAGAGAGCGCCGCAACGTTCACACTTGAAGAGCTCTCAACAAAAAATTTGCCGACTGACGCTTGTTTATTGGTTTAATATAAATTTACTGAATTTATCGCGTAAGCGGGGCAATATTGCACGCCAAAATGGCCGACGCCGACGATGGAGCTGAGTTATTATTCTTCGACACTTTCTCACATGAAGAAGTTACCGTAAGTAAAATTAGAATTTTCTTGATATCAACATGCGTGTATTAACAACATATTGCAACTGTTGCAGGATATCAACTTGGACTTGGTTCAGTTCCCAAAGCCTGTGTTTATAACACAAGTGCGCATTATACCATTGGGCGCGCGAGTTCAAGCGGACTTTCCCGGCGGCGTTCGTCTAGGTGCCACGAATCCGTCCAAGTTCGATCTGGAGTTCTTTGTCAATGATTTGGGTATGCCGGGTGCCTCAGCGTTTGAGAATCTGGGCTTGTTGCGCTACAACCAGAATGACTGCATACATCTGGACTGCTCTCAAGAGAAAATACCAACAGATGGTCTTGTGTTACGTGGCTGGTATAGCGCCATTACCTTAGCTGTATATGGCATACTAACCAACTCTGTGACTGAGCCTATTGCCAGCCCAACTTTACCGTGCGAGCCAGCAATGACTGGACCCGAGATGTGCAATCTAAGCGGAGAGGTTCTTCTGCCCGATGAAGTGATCAAAGATGATTGGTCAGAGCCAATGCAAACTGAGCTGATGGCCGCTGCTGCACACAAGGCTAGCGTCAGCGTGAGCGACTACGAGCACGACGATATCGAATATGGCATGTCGCGTGATCACTACCACCAGCATGCAGACGAGGAGCAGCGGGAATTGCGACGCATGCGACGGTCCACGCATTCTACTGATCACTCTCCACCGCCGCTGCGCACGCACACGCACTCAGAGAGCAATGACAGGGAATACTTGCGCTGGTGAGTACTCTAAAGGTTTTGTTACTTCACTTTTAATGCTTCAAAATATCTATTAACAGTTCGCGCGACAAGGCGCCGCGTGATTGGTCGCGTTCACCAGAGTATTCCAGTCACAGAGCGCGACGCAAGCGTTCAGAGCGCTCTCGCTCCGATGCAGATGAGCACAAGTGGCCTCGTACGCCTCCTGTTTCAATTGACTCGCCAACACGTCCTCGTTCTCCAGACACCATGGACTATGACGACGACGATACACGCTCGCCCTATAAGCTGCAGAGCTCGCATGGCTATCGCCACTCTTCGGAGTCGTTGCCACGAGAGCGCGACGAAGAAGAGCGGGATCGTGAACGAGAGCGCTCTGAAACACCGCAGGAGCAATTTGAGCCCATTCTTAGTGATGATGAAATCATGGGCGACGATATGGAAGACGAAGACGATGGAGTAGATGCGGCTGCTGCAGCAGAGTATGAGCGCGAACTGGAGGCAGCCGCAGCAGCTGCACCACCTGCCATAGACGCCTTCGAGCCATGGCAACGTCCGCTACAGAAATACGATGGCGACTTGCTGACTCACTTCAGCAAAGAGCTCGATACACTGCGGCTACTCTTCAAGAAGCTATCTCTGCAGATCAGATGGGACAATGTGAGCGCCTTTAACGAAGAGCACGGCGGAGTCACTGTAGACGAGCGAGAGCAGTTCGTCTACCTCGGCGAGCAGTTAAATAATCAACTGGCCTACTTAACGCAGCACTACAAGCGCCGCAACTTTGTGCTGCAGCAGTTTTTCAAGAACGACGAGTCGCATCTGCGTCAGGCAGCGAATATTTTGCAGATTGCATTGAGCTTCCAGGCGGCCTGCATGCAACCACAGCCAGCATTTAAAATACGACATATCAAGCTGGGCGCTCGCATGGCTGAGTTATTGTGCAACAACGAGCAGCTGTTCCGACATCTGCTGCAGCAGCACAACTTTGATCCGTTCGAGGCCGTCTTCAGTCTCTATCAGGAGCCCTACATGGCACTGTCCATAAAACTGCAGCTGCTAAAAGCTGTCTACGCCATGTTGGACACCCAATTGGGCATTAAGCATTTTCTGGGTGGCAACACCAATGGCTATCAGCTGATTATCGAGTCTATCAAGGCAGCCAAGCTCACACGCACCAAATACGCCCTGCAGGCCATCATAAAAAAGCTGCACCTCTACGAAGCACTGGAGAGTGTGCGCAACAGCTGCAATCAGCTCTTTGTTCGCAAAGTGGAACGGCCGCCACAGCAGATCTGTCAGGAAATCGAGTACGCGTTTGAGATGATTATGGATGCTTTGGTAGCCAACCAGCTGAGCTTTCAGCAGCCGCGTCGATTTCTGCCCGTCTCCAAGAAGTTCGAAGTGGTCACAGATCCCAATGCACAGCGGAGCTTTGGCAATGCGCTGCAGTCCTACTTCAAACAGCATGCGCTGGCCGAATCCCTGCTGCTGATTCTAAGCAATGCCAAGGAACTCCCTGCCACCACATTCCTGTGCACGCTGGATCTGATGCATGCTCTGCTCAAATCACACGTGGGCATAGACTACTTTGTGGACGATGCGTTCGAGGCGACACAACTTATTGTGGCCATACTGCTGGGCCTGGATGAAGTGCCCAGCATGCCCAAGCCAGAAATAGAAAAGGAAGAGGAAGAGGCTGGTAAGTGACTTGCTTAAGTCTAGCTTTTATGCAATACTTATATTCTTGTAAATCTTGCAGTCAAATCTGAGGAAACGGATAAGCCTTTGGACACATCAGACAGCTCCGATAAGGAAACCGAAGTTAAAGCAGAGGGAGCGGCTGCTGCAACTGTGGCCATTGACGTTGCCGTACAAACGGAGCCCACGCCTGTCAAAGCACCTCAAAAGCTAGCGCCCGTCCTTCGGCCCGTTTTGCCACGCCTGGCCCGCCTTGGGATTGAGTTGGCCTACAAAGTGCAGACGCGCTATCACCTGGATGCGATTGTGTTCACGGCTGCACTGCCTGAGTACGATGCCATCACAGTGGCCACACATATGCACGCAATATACTCACAGACTTGCGACCCGGCAGGTCGTCAGCACACCATCGAGGTGCTGGGACTGAACAATAACCTAAAGATTTGCATGGACCTTATTAAAAAGGAACAGCGGCTGCAAGCGCAGCGACAGCTGAGCTCGCCAGGCACCAAATACAAGAGTCCAGTGCTCAGCTATGCGGTGGACATGGTGGATTGTTGTGTGCGCTACTGTGAACAGCTCGACTACCTGATCGAGCATGGCGCTGTCATACTGGAGCTGGCCAAGAACCACGAAACCTTCGAGCCATCAGTGTCGGCCGTGTTGCAGGAGATGTATGTGTACATGAAGCCACTGGAGGCCATTAATGTGTTCATCTACGACGACATCATGCCCCTAGTTGAGGTGATTGGTCGATCTCTTGACTATCTTACCACCTTCCCTGGGGATCTGATTATGGCCTTGAGAATACTGCGTTATCTGGTCACCACGAAGTCGACACCGCCGCCCGGCGTCAAGCAGTCCAAACGGCCGGACACCGAGGAGTTGAAACATCGCTTTGTGGCCCTCCAGCTGTACGCTGCGGATGGCGTACAGCTAATGATTCAGATAATGGAACGGCTGTGCACGTACTTTGAGCAGCCCGGCATGCATGCACCCGCTTTGATGACCATTCAGGGCGTGCACTGCTGCCAGATCATGTTGCCCACGCTGCAAATTCTACGCGAACTGCTCTCCTATGCCATACTGTGCCGCGATGGCGCCTTCAAAGACCTGACTTCGATCGATCATCTGGTTAAGGTATACTTCCTGTTGTACTATTATCCCACGCGCTGCCAGGCGGGTGCTGAGGTGGAGCAGTGCAAGCTGGAGGTGGTACAAACACTGTTGGCCTATACGCAGCCGCACGAGCAAGACGAGGAATCGTTGCATAAGTCCCTCTGGACGCAAATGATACGCGAGGTGCTGAAGAACATTGATGGACCGGCCAACTTTATACCGGGCCTGAAGCTACTGGCTGAATTGTTGCCACTGCCGTTGCCCATGCCACAGCCACTGAGCGATCAGCTGAAGCAGCAGCACAAGCAGCGTTTGATCACTGAACGCAAGCTGTGGTCCGCTCACCTGCATCCGCAGAGCGGACAAATTGCCAAGCTGGTGGAAGCGCTGGCGCCTTCAAGTTTCCCGCAGCTGTCCGAAATGCTGCAGCGCGTCTGCATGCAGCTATCAGACCTGGCACCCAACATGACGCTGCTCATAGCCAAGACCATAATGGAACTGCTGTGCAATGAATACCAGAGCTCCAATTGCATGCCGACGACGAATCTGGAGCGCCTGCTACGTTTCTCCACGCGGCTCTGTGCCTTTGCGCCACTTAAGAGCTCCATGCTGTCCATATTGTCGGGCAAGTTCTGGGAGCTCTTCCAGTCGCTGCTGTCGTTGAACGAGTTCAACGAGGTGGTCTCCAATTGCCAGGAGGCAGTGCATCGCATACTCGACAGTTTCCTAGACTCTGGCATCTCCTTAATTTCACATAAATCCACAGCGCACCCAGCGCTCAATTTGTCGGCTGCACTGCCGCCCAAGGAACTAATCCCACGCGTCATCGATGCTGTGTTCAGTAATCTGGCCAGCGTGGAGGTCACTCATGGAATTTCCATTTTGGCTGTGCGTAATCTGGTCATCCTGACCGAGCACGAGTAAGTATCAAGCATAGATCTCTTAGTAAACTTGAACTTAATCTTGTTTTCTCTTTGTACAGTTACACTTTCTATCACCTGGCGCAGTTGTTGAAGCAGAAGATTAGCGAGTTCCAGGCGTGGATGGAACGTGTTATACTCCACAATGAGACGGTTGAGTATAATGCAAACATAGAGTCGTTAATTCTGTTGCTGCGCTCCCTGACTCAAATTGAGCCAGCTCCAGCAATGTCTGCCATGCCTAGCCGAACGCTTAAGCTGGGTCCATCTGAGCTCGCGCAGCTGCTTGAGTTTCAGGATGTGGAGCTGGATAAGCCGCCGGTCTTGCAGCGCATACTTAAAGTGCTCGAGAAGCACAAGGCCGTGGCCAATGAGGCGGCTCTGTGTGATTTGAAGCAGCTTATTGCCCTGCAGGCATCCAAGCAGGAGCAGGAGACGCAGCCAACAACGGCTGCCTCAGTGGAAACGCCAAATGAAGCCGACGCAAACGCAACCAGTGGCAGCAACGTCAGCACAGGACCACTCAATGTTGAGCCATATCTGCCGCAAGCTGAGGGCATCGTCACACAGTACGAGGCACGTCCCATATTTACACGCTTCTGTGCGACGGCTGAGAATGTCCAGCTGACTGCGCGCTACTGGCTGGAGCCGCTGCCAATTGAGGTCATTGAGGATATGGATGAGCCGCTGTACGAGCGCATTGCTTGCGACTTGACTGATTTAGCCAACGTGTGCCTAAATCCCGATCTGAATCTCACGGGCGATTGCAAGCGTGTGCTGCATTTATCTGGCTCACCGCAATCCAATCGCGAGATGACACCCACAGCGCCATGTTTCCGCACTCGACGTGTCGAGGTGGAACCTGCCACGGGCCGGCCAGAGAAGAAGATGTTCGTAAGTGCGGTGCGAGGACGCGGCTTTGCACGGGCACCACCTTCCCGTGGGGACTTATTCCGCTCCAGACCACCAAACACATCGCGACCACCATCGCTGCACGTGGACGATTTCCTGGCGCTGGAGACGTGCGGTGCACAGCCCACCGGGCCAACGGGCTACAATAAAATACCTTCAATGTTGCGCGGTTCGCGCGTAGGTCGTAACCGGGGCTCACGCATATCAGCAGCAGCTGCCTACAGGTAACGAGCTTTACGCTTTGTAAATATAGCATCTTTATCAGTTTTGTTTTCTCCTCTCGCTTGCAGGCAGAAGAAGCTCTTACGCATCGGGTCGCCCTCGAATTGGTCCGAGACGACGGGCACGCCGTATCGTTCGGGAGCTGCTGAAGGGCATTTCAGCAGCGGCGACTCGCACTACACTTCGCCCCACTACAGCGGACGACCACGTGGGCGTGGCCTGCGCTCCAGACCGTCCTATCTGCGCTAGGGACGGCGCCAGTTTTTGCATATATCAAAAGTGTTTTCTGTATATTTGATTTATACAATTTGTATGTAAAGTAATTAAACTTAAGCATTCTCTGTAATCACACAATTCAGGCGCACATCGTGATCCTCCATGGGCAGCTCCTCGTTGCTGACGATCTGCTCATTGAGGGCCAGTGCCATAATGGTTGTCTTCTTGTGCGGATACTTTTCCGCATGCTGCTTCAGATATTTGTCATAGTAGCCCATGCCGTGGCCCATGCGATCGCCGCTGCGCGTGAATGCGACGCCGGGCACGATAAACAGATCAATGCCATGTCCTGCAGGAGAGATTGAGTATGCTACGCATAGGGATATTATACGGTCATTGTTTACCATTTGTCATGGCATCCTCGCGGCTCTCCTTAAAATCGGGCTGCTTTATATTCCATTTGGTCAGCGGCAATCCCTCGTACTCGTTCATATCGCGCAAACGCACCATTTTCATCTTTGTGCCCTGATAGGTGGGCACAAACACCATCTTCTCCAGCCTAAACATCTCGCGGATTATCGCAGTGGTGTCCAGCTCATCGCTGGTGCTCAGATAGATGCTAACGCGCTGAGCCTGACGAAATGCCTCATTTTTCAGCACCTGCCGAGAACAGATGTTCGTAAGTATAATCGGCGATCTAGATCTGACCTAAGCGCACTGACTCTCTCGGTCACTGCCTCCGATTGTCTAGCTATCATCTCGGGCGTTAAACAGCTGAGGACCTCCTTCATGCGATTCCTCAGGGCTACCTTAAGGCTATTTTGGATGGCTGCCATGGCGAAGCACAGTGCACACACTCTATGGACCGGAGAACGACTGATTTCAGCTTGCACTCATGCAGCCTCTATAGCTGCCCCTCTGTGGATTAGTCGCTTATCAGTAAAACTGCGCATTATCAGTTTTTGCCGACCACATGCTCTTCCTCCACCGATTCGTAAACAAGCAACAGGTCGGTTTGCATACATTCATTTGCATACATTAATTGATAAGGCAATTACAAAGCTTGAGACTCGCAGTGCTTATATAATTATTTACTTACATATTTGTATATTTATACAACAGTTCGTCTTGCCGTGCATTCACTGTAGCCGAATTGGCGTGCGCCCCCTTTTCAAACCAGCGATTGACACTTTATATTTAGCACTAAAAATGCCAGCAGTTGCGGCTATCAGTGCTGTCGGCGACGTCGGGCTCTCGTCGAATTTGGCTTTTTTTCTCAATAATTTAGCCGCCAAATTTAAAACGAGCTGACGGACTGAATTGTTAAATTAAATATTTTCAATTGTATATATAAATGAATA